AAAAAAAAAAAAAAAAAAAAAAAAAAAAAAAAAAAAAAAAAAAAAAAAAAAAAAAAAAAAAAAAAAAAAAAAAACTATATATATATATATAGACTCTAAAAGGGTCATCTTAATAAACCTTAAAAAAGAAAGCAATCTCACTTCTTCTAGCCAACAATCGGATCTTTTACGGAAACTTGACAACCTACGAATACTGCACCCCACCCTATAAACAAGCAATAAAAAGGCGCCATAGACCAGCAAAACGTTTAGCCAGACAATAATGATGATCCTCTCCCCAACCAAGAAAATCATAAAGCCCGATCCGTCTACAATGAGGACCAGCGATCGAAATATAGTGATAGAAGTAGGACCCCCCTTGACGATTACCCCATATATCTTGAAAGAAACCATAGTAGAAATAATCTGAACCCGTATCAAAACCAGGACGCTCTTCAAACAGTTTTAAGAGAAATAGCCAACGCTTTTAGAGATGCCACTGCTGGAGTTGCTGCTGCCGCCAGAGCTGCCGGCAGAGAAACCAACTTGGTTCGTGTCGAATTGTTCTATGGAACAGAAGAGGAAGACCCTCTCGAGTGGGTTAAAAAATTCGATCGTGTGGCTGATGCTAACAATTGGTCATCCGAAAGGAAGGTTAGGATAGCCTCTGGGTACTTACGAGGCATTGCCGCCAATTGGTATGATGGTATTAAGAACCTGCTAGAATTTTGAGACAACGAAACTGAACCGGAAGCCAGTTTCATCTTCTATTTTACGCAGTATTTTGCCACCCTCGAACATCGTCATAAGTGGCAAATGGACTTGAATTCTCTCGTACAATTGGAAAGTGAGCACATCGATTCGTATGTATTTAAGTTCAAGAAACTTTTGCATAGAGTCGATGCAGAGCATCAGTTGCCCCAAGCTTACGTTGTACGCATGTTCTTAGGAGGACTAAAGTCGAAAATTGCCTCCTGGTTAAGTGTTGCTGAACTCGCTACGTTGGAAGAAGCTATACTCGGTACATGAAAAATTGAGGCTAGAGAATATTACAATGCAAGAAACAGAGAAAGGTCCCAAAGCAATAGGAAATTAGAAAATGATCTTAATAATCTAACCTGACAAATGCAAGTAATGACCGAAAAATTAACAGCTGCCTTTACCTTGTCTAAGGAAACTGCCCCACCAAGATCCCGCTTCCCGCATAATAATAATAATCATAATGGTAATTATGATTTGTCCCGGCTGGTCTGTTATAAATGTGGTGAGCCTGGCCACATCTCTCGCTATTGTATGTTGGAGAGAACCCAAAATCAAAGCCAAAATCGGCCCCAACCTGCCCAAAATAACCCAACCAACCAGCCTACCCGTATCCTACTCAGACCTAACAATATTAATTTTTGCAGAATTGAAATGGATGAAGGATACGAGCCTGAAGTCGAGGAAGAAGAAGCCTTTGTGACCTCCGTGGCCTGTCATCAACCATACTCCACCTAAAGGCCCAAAGAACAACACTCTAAAAGATTAGAGGATCAAGCCGCAGAAAGATATCGGTTTATCCTTCCTAGACCAGAAGCCTCCGTTGTGCCTCTAGTAAATGTAAATCCTTCCCAAACAGTACCACAAGCCCTGGTAGCACCTCCGGTCAATGTGAACCCTTCCTAACCAATACCAGAAGCCCCAGTAGCCCCTCTTGCAAGACCTCGATGAAAGAGAGGCTCCTTAGTAATTGATCAATTGGAATCATATGACGTGGCTAGAGACATTATAGAATCAAAAGCCAATATAACTCTGGGACAAATGTTGAAGTACCCAGATCAAAGGCAGAAGCTAGCAAATGCTTTGAGAAGACCGTTGCCCCCGCTGGAATCAGTAAACCCACCCCCTGTGACCATGCAAACAAGCACCGTCCAGAATCAGTCGAATAGAAGAACAACGGCCGCCTGTTGTTACATAAGGATAAAGAATGACTCTGTGATCACTGTTCTGGACTCCGGTGCAGCTGTGAACATCTTGTCCAATAAAATGATGAAAAAACTACAATTGAAAATTACCGAACCTTCCACCACCATGGTAGTAACGACGAATGGGACCTGAGTAAGAACGTTAGGAAGAATCGTCAATGTAAAGCTAGTATTAGGTGGCCTTGTAATCCTGACTAACTTCCAGGTCATTGAATCCACCAACAAGACTCTTCTTCTTGGAATGGATTAGTTCAAGCAGACCCATGCCCGTTTGCACATAGACGAAAGTAGATTGTATGTGCAATATCAGGGCCAGGTTGCAGAAATCCTGATATTGTACAATGAAGACTATCTCCTTATTGAAGTTGAAGAAAATGAAGATGATGGGACGTTTGACAAATTCAAATACGAAGATGAAGTATTGGATGAGGCCGAAGGTTTCTACAGTGAAATATCAGATAGCGACCTCTTTGATAACCCTTGGAAAAATCATAGTCCTGCTGTATATTTGTTGTACATGGAGGAATTACCATCGAACAAGCCCGATCTTGGGAAAG